AATTTGATGAGCCCTAGATGGAGAAAGTTTGGCGCAAATTAAGGGTTGTCTCAATTTCAACAACGGAGATGTTTCTCTTCTAACTCCCGCGCTGAAATGAACTCTGCGTCCCAGGAGGTGGAGCCAAGTCTCAACTTCTGGTGAACGAACTATACAATGTTTCCGTTGCCAAGGATATGGACATTCTCAGCGAACGTGCACAGAGAAACCAAAATGTATGAAATGTGTCGAAGGGCATTTTTCGTTTCAGTGCACGAAGAGCAGAGAAACACCAGCCACCTGCTGCAATTGCGGAAAGAACCACACCTCGAACTTCTCTGGGTGCGAGGCCCGCCCCAACAGAAAGAAAACAACTGCCCGAACTCCTGCAACTTCAGCTCACCGTCTAGTGACTCTCATGAAAGAACTGCAAGAGCTCATGAAAGATCAGGATGTGCTTAACCTTCTACAAACTCTACTAAAGGGGTCTTTCCAGTGATGATCTCTTCTTTCCTGCAATGACTCACCACTATAAGGACTTATTTTCTTCAACATCATAGTACATAAGAACTATTTCGACTTATTTACCTTATGACTCAACACTTTCCACGAATCGGTTAGTGGCGCTTTGTGCCAAAAGCCGAGATCTCCCGTATTCACATCACATCACATCCCTTCAAGGAGGGAGAGCTCTTAAAAAACGAGGAATCAGTTTCGCTTCTCACCTCCATTCTCAGGGGAAAACCCCCTGAACTCTGATGATTTCTATACACAACAAAGACTCTCAACTTCCAGTTCAAGCTGCCTACATCATAATTCCTACGAAATATCTCTGACCCCACTCATCCCTTATTGACACTCATAATTAGGTGGAAATGTAGATAGCCCTACGAGCTAGAGGCATTGAAAAACTAAATTTAAATCAGTAAACCATTAAATCAGTAAGGAGGGTTGTTGTGCAGCGTCTGAGACTTCGTACCGATATTCCGTTTCTACCCGGTGACGCCCACCTGCAGTATGAGATGTTTACAATCGAAAGTTTAAGTTTTAATTGTTCTTTTTATAACAACTTTTAAATGTTTTTTAACGAATAACCGCTTAATTGGAGTTTGTGAGTTTCCTAATGGTTTGTTATCTTTCACTATTAAAGAGGATCTTTCATTGCCATATTGTTTCATTTGACGTCTTACATTCCCATCACCGAAACATATACAATCCCTTTTAAAAGTGAAGAACAGATAAACAGAAAGTGCAGAAAGACTAATAGAAGGGCAGCGAAAATTAAAAATGTTGAAAAATACTTCCAAAGAAACGATAGGAATCGAACCCGCTACCTTAACATTTTAAAACGTTTTATGGGAGGACAATATCACGCATTCACGAATGCAACAAGAACGGTAGGTAGGGACTTTATTTATGTCGCACTAGAGCTGCACAATGAGCTATAGGCGACTGTCTGGGAAACATCCCTTAGGATGATCAGAAGGCATGCAACAGCAATTTTCATCCTCTGCAGAGGGGATTCATCCCCTGCTTCATGAAACACCCTGGGGTGACTCTGGCCACGAGGAATTTTATATTTTATAACCGTCGTTGAACAGCCGATCCATTTTAGCTTTTACGACTACCAATGTTGGTGCCATTGTCTTGTAATTTTGAATCAAAGCTAGAAAACAAGGGAACTCTTGGATCAAGTATTGAGAGAAATTTTGCCTCAGTGGGGGACTTTTTGAAGGAACTAAACCATATTTGCTTTACCATATTTGCTAAACCATATTTGCTTGAGAAGAAAACCACAAAAACCTTCCACGGTTAGCCTGACTACAAGGGGACTATAACCCATGATCTGTTTATCTTTGAGTTATATTTTACCTTAGCATTGTGATGGTGCGAACCAGATGCGGAATTTGTATTGACCAGTGAATTCCTGGGATCCAGTCGCTGGGATTCGTACCCGGGTTACCTCATTGGGAGGTGACGCACTTTATACTAAGAAATCTAAGTTCACAAGCGAAATTGAAATTTTATGTATATAAATAATGTATGTGATACCTAATGAATAGCTTCATGTTATTGTTTCCATATTTATGAATTATATACAAGCTATATAACTTTTGAAATAGGTGCAGAATTGTTATTTTGACTAAAATGTTAAAATATATTACGATATCAAATATCTCGAATCATCGAATCGAATTTTTAGTATCCCCCTTCGAGTTTGTGATATCGAGGTCTGACTGTGATTTTTAGCAAATTTTTTGTGTTTACCGAATTTTGCATTAAAATGAAGATTTTTATCAAGTTTGAATTCATGTAACACATTGTATTGAATGATATTAATGAGCATTTTTTAATAAAAAACAGCAAAAACTATTTTTTACCAGTATGGAATCATTTCTTCAAAGTCAAGGTTGGCAAAAAGTAAAATTATCAATATTATTTTTGAAGCGAAGAAATTTTAGATATTTTCTTAATATTGAAAAATTTAATGTTTCAATGTTTGCCTTAACAAGGGAGACATTTTAGAAGAATGTCTACAAAGCGTGAGTAGTTTAATTACGAAATGTCAAATTTAAAGTGGTTATCTAGGAAGATAAACTATATAGAAAATATTTTTACTTTTTGAGGAAAACTTGAAGGATGATTAACGAGTATACAAACAAACAATTCATAATAAATTACGTTAATGTGAAAAAGTTATTTTGAGTTTAAACTTATTATTTCATTTGAATAAAAGCTAAATTAAATACAAAATTAATGCAAAAATTGCAAAAATATAAATAAAGAAGATGGGAATTTTATCAATTATTGCGGGGCGGAGTGACTAATAGTTGCCAAATGAAACGTAGTCCACGGGCCATACATTTTACTGGGAAAACGCAGTTTTCAGCTCGAAGAAATATTCAATAATATCAGAAAAATTTTCTAAATTCCCTTTACCATATAAAAAGAATCTCATAAAAGCTATCACTGAAATCAGCATTCATTATTAATAACCCAATATATTTTTACTCAAAATGAGCAAAAAAAGATTATCAAAACACGATTTTCCTCCATTATTAAAATGCGCCAATTTTAATACTGTGCTGTTAATTATCATATGTAACCAAAGTTCCTTTTTTTTATTTGACAAGTAAATATTTTTTGATCAGATATTTCGTTTCAGAGATAAACTGCTTCCGATAAAGGAAAAAATTATATTATCTTTGGTTTAGAGTTTCCAGTGCAAATCTTTCTTTGATTAAAGTTATACAGACATAACTCACTCCTATTGAAAAGCTATTTGGTAAGTCAGATTTTTCAATGCACATATAATGTTACTTTATCATTTCAGTTTTTTTATATTCTATTTTAACTGCTCTTTAGCATAACACATATTTATTTATTTTACTTATTTTTATTAAACTCTTAAGAGAAGCCGAAAGATGGGGTAACTTTGTGCATGATAAATGTTGTTTTTATAATAAACTGCGGAACCATCTCTCGACTTTTAAAGGTTCTCTAAGCTGTCACTCTACGTGGTGCTCCTTTAAAAATGATTAGGAACTCCCGATTTTCCCCTAAATTGTTGATATAAATATATTTTCACTTTAGAATTTTATTCCTAAAAAGACAGAACATAATATATTTTTCTATTCTGCTTTTCTTCAATCTTCTAATTTTCATATTTTTTATCAAACATTAGTGGCCCTTAGAAGTCAGGAATTTTGCGTTTAAAAGCTCCACATAAGTAATCATCAAAAACTGTTTAAAAATGAAACTTAATTTCAAAGAATTCTTACATTCTATACTCGGAAGTTTATTTCGCAATTGTCATAAAACAAAAAATAACAGGAAGAATTATAAGAAACTCGAGAATTTATATCGAGTCCTAATGTTAAAACAATTAAAAAATCTTCTTATAAAAGCTGACAGTTAGGCGAAATGTACGAGGGGAAATATGAATTTGACGTTAACCTTTGGGAGAGGAGTATCGAAGGGAATAATGCTAGTAAATTTTACAGGGAAAATTATAAAAATATCCCTAGATTAATTCATGTAATTATTAATATCGATTCCCCTTGTTAAAACAATTAAAAACAATTTCTTTTTAATAAAAGCTGACAGTTAGACAAAAAGAACGAGGGGAAATATGAATTTGTCGTTAACCTTTGGGAGAGGAGTATCGAAGCTAATAATGCTAGCAAATTTTACGGAGAGAATTATTAAAATCTCCCTAGATTAATTTATGTAATTATTAATATCTATTCCCCTTGTTAAAACAATTAAAAACAATTTTGAGTGAAACTGACAGTTAGACAAAAAGAACGAGGGAAAACATGAATTTGTCGTTAACCTTAGGGAGATGAGTATCGAAGGTAATAGTGCTAGTAAATTTCAAAGTAAAATTTTCGACAAAAAAAGGCATTTATTAAATTATATTAAAATTAAATGCTATATAGTATTATATTATAAAAGCTGTTTTCAAAGTTTTTTATTAGAAGCGAATAGATTAGAAAACGATGTTATTCTATAAGGTTCGTGATCATACCCAGGGCTAAAGAGCTCGCCTCGCCTACACGATCGTAACCGCTAAGTGATCGCTGATGAGATCGCTTCGTGTCTTTATTTATTTAAGTTTCCTAATCTGAAAAATATGTTTGGTATTTTTTTCTTACATTTGAAAAGCATTATTTTGCGTTATTAAAAAAGATGCAATTAAATAACATACATACTCAATATTGCTGAGACATAAGCAATTATTTTTTATTGACTCAGTAGATGTCCTAAGTATCAAATGAAATACATGTCAATTTTAAATCTTATTTAATTTTTCATGTTTAATATATCATTGTTTTTCGGAAATTAATTCGAAGTTCTATTTGGAAAAGAATTATTATTTAAAAAAATAACATCTAAAATATCTAAAAAGTGTTTAAAAAATAATTCTACCAACGGATTTTGGATGGTCTGCTGTTAAACATTGCATCCGGCTCCCTGCTTACTCTCCTACATATAATTTTGTTGTAGTCCTCTATATCTTTTATTATTTCGCTATCTATTTTGAGTTGTTCATTTAAAATTCTGTCATTACAATCATATTTTCGTGAAACCCCTTTTTACACCTCATAAACCACTAAGAGTTCACAAAGCACCGGTTAGAAAAAGAATGATTAATAGATAAGTGCAATCTATGCAATGCTACACAAAAACAAATATTTTCGCTCATACAGGTTTTTATATCGGTTATACTACAACAAACATACATTAACTCTAAATACATGAGTAGCAGTAATTACGTATGAGTTTATTAATAAATTAAGCTATTCATTTCCTTTTTATAAAAGTTATTTTTCAACAAAAAACATGCAAATGTTAGGCCATTAATGTTAACACAGTTAACTATATTAAAAAAAAGTTATAGTCAACAGTTAAACCAGTCTCGTGCAAAATAGTTTTGGTACTAAAACCATTTAAACCATTGGTACCAATCAAAATTGCTGCTATTCATGCAATTAGAATCGATATTTATGTAACCAATGTTATTAGGGTGAACTCTGTTGCGATTTAGTTTTTATTAGTCATAGGAAAAACATTTTGTTTCCCACCCGGCATTTCGCAAAATTAAAGATGCAATTGTCTGAATTGTAAATAATAAATGTTAAAAAGTAATGAAATATTAAATTTTAATATGTGAGACTTTAAAAGCTATATGTAAGACCCAGGTAGCAGAATTTAAGAAGTGAATCTAGAGCATTATCTTCATTAATACAAATTTGTGTGACCTCAGCGTAGTCAGATAAAACAGTATTATTGTAAAAATTCAGCTTAAATTGAAATACATTCAGCAAAAGCATCGAATATAAAGTCCTCAAAAATATACATGAAAACCTTTTATAGTTTAAATTTACGTTTAATTGTATGGAATAATATTAAAAAATTAAATAAATTCCTTAACTGTTAAATCTGAAATCAAGAAACAGAAAAAAAGAATTGCTACCTTTTGTTCTTCGAGGTGTTCTCTCGATTCAGCTCTTTAATTTTTATTAGAAACAAATTTAGCTTAGATAGCGAAATAAGAATTATTTTCACTCAGCAAAAGTCTATTAATGGAAACCTAAAAAGTTTTTTTATGCTGTTTACGTGTAAGCCTTCTAACCTTTAAACGAGATCTGTGACAATTCTACACACATTACCCTAATCCAAAACCTTGGAAAACAACCTTCTATATTAAAACCTGAAAATCGAAGTTGTCTTAGGGTTTTCAAGAGTGAATAAAATCCATGAACAAAACTTGTCTTAAGATGAAAAAAAATTTAAATCTAAGTAATTATAAGGTTTTGTTCGTAACGTCTTGTATGCTCAGCTACCTAAGTAATAATCCCTTTAAGATGTAAGATTTGCAATATTTTTGTTTTTTTGAAAAAAGATTTTTAGTACAAACATTTTCATGGCAATAAAAAGATAATTCCGATACAAGGTTGCCGTTAGATTACATGTTTTCTGGGTAGAGATGTTTTAAAAAAGTGACTTATCTACTTCCCTCATTTGTTTGTTAGCTTGAAAAAATTTATAAAAAATTATTTGCATATACTGCAATAATCTGCAGCGCTCGCTGCCGTTTTCAAGAGTTTTTGCTCCCGAGCATGGGATCATAGCCAGGGGATGAGATGAGTGTTTTAAACATATTATCCTAAACTCTACGCAAAGTAATTTTTTCAATAAAAATACTTTTTTAATAAAAAAAATTTTTTTTTCAAATAAAACCTTACTAAAATATTTTTGAATTAATTTCCAAAAACGCAAGCAAACGATATTTTATCAATAAAAAATTAAATAAAAAAGTCGCATTCGAACTTGCGACATCTCTGCAGTTTTAATACAGTGCTTTTGCTTGATATTTGGTTTCTCAGTTTTCAGCAATAATCATATTTTTGAGAGTATATTTATTTGAAAGCATATTTATAATCACCGCAGAATGATGCATATTAATATTTAAAAAAAATCAAAATGATATTCTTGAGTAAAAAACTTGAACAATTAATAAAGAATATTTGGCGGAAAGCATAAATCGAAATTGAATTGATAAAGTGGTCATATTGATGGTGTCGCGGCGAAATAATCGCGTTGGCGTAGTGATCATGCCGGTGAAATGATCACTACCAGCAAAATGAGTAATACGTGAAATGATCGTGTAGGGAAATGAGCTTTCGACGACACGATCATATAATCGTATCAGATGATCGTGTCGTCGAAATGATCGAATTACCGAAACGAGCTGGAGGTGAAGCGATCTTATTAGTCTATTAATGAAATGAATGTTGGCAATATGAGCCAAACCTCTCTATAATTCAAATATTTCAGCCAGATACACATTTCAGGTAATGAAGGTCATACTGTAGATGCATATTTATATTTCGAGTTTTGAAAAAATGTGATTATCTTCTAGCGATAGAGATGACATTGGAATTGCATGGAGAAAAAATAATAAAATAATTTTTAAACTAGTATAAATAACATGGGGGGGTGGATAAGAAAAATAAAAGGATTATTCATTTGTGGATGTAGGGTAATTTTTCTTTCATTGATGAGAATTAAAGTGTGTCAATAACTAATTGCGTCATCCCTTTGTTTCTTCAAAATTAAGTTGATAATAAAAACATTGTTTTTTAGGTTATCTAATCTTGCATTACAATTGTGCATTAATTGGTTAAATCATTGGCTGCATACATCAAAAAGTTTTTATCATTACTAATTTTATCATAGATATAAATTGTATATAATTGTCTCAAAATAAAGATAAAACAAAGGAAAAGTACAGACAAAACAAAAAAATCAGAAAAGTACAGTTCTCTAGGGAAGAAAAAAAATAATAAAAAAATAACAAGCAACTGGGGGAAAAAAAGGATAAAATTTTTTAAAAATTCCGGAAAATAAAAGATATAATCTCTTCATCAGCCCACAGGTTTATATCTGCAAATAAATATATATATAT